ATCTATTTGGGATATACGGCATTTTTAGCGAGCGAGATGCTGTTTCGCAGCACAGACGCTCTATTTAAGAAGTTTTTGTTAATTCTAACAATTATACATTGCATTAATGCATAAATGTTCATAAACCTTAAACATTTAAAGATTAATTTCGAATATTTGAAGCTATTTAAAAAAATTGCATTAAGTCCTATTTGTATTTCAATTTTCATTCTGAACAAAAAAATTGTCATATATTAATAAACAATGCAAGTTACGTCGTCATTTTACATTTTATTTATAGATTATTTGTGATTTTCTTATGAATTATATACGAGTGGCCATATTATCACCCCCTAGGTCGCGTTCGAAAACATCATCTAAGTGCCTCGATCCTCCCGAGGATTGTTCGAAAATATTTCGATGCCCTCGATGGTCTTTTTCGATTGTTGCGTTCGAAAACACACCCGAACCACTTCGAGAGTGACTATTTCTCCCTACCTCGCTAAGGTAGGGAACAGAGAGTATCTCGGATAAACATGAAGCGGGAAAATGGAAAAAGATTTCGTCCAATATAGAAATTAATTTATCGAGGCATCAACTTATTAGAGATCAGGTTAAAGATAAAAAATAACAATTATGCAAAATGGATGCTTGCTTTTGTTGGCTAAATTGGATGTATGTATTTATTTTTACAAATCTTTCAAAATATCCTATATGAATACTTACAAAGTATCCTAACCTAACTCTATACTTAATATTATAATGCCTGTATGTACACTTCAGTTATATCGTTTTTATTTTCATAATTCTCAATAGTAGATATATTGCAATTGTCAGCTTTTTTTTCTTCTTTGCTCATTATTTTCAGGGAATGGTTGTAAGTATAACGTTACATAGTTATTGTTACTTTTTATAACTGTTATAATGTATTTAATAACGTTGCAATTTTTTATGACTAATAATAATTAACTAAATGCTAAAGTTGAGAAAGTAATTCGTTACCAATACACATATATTTACAGAAAAAAATTATTCGTTATTTAATATCAGCTCGTTATTTTTACAGTTACTTTTAACGATCTTTACGAGTTACTTTCTTTTTTTAAGTAAGCGACTTTTCCAACCTTACGGTGTCACCGTTTTACTATTATATAAGAAATTCACAAAACATCATTGCCAAATCATATTATTATAATAAAGTAACGCATTACAAGAAACGTGTCCTTCTATTTCGTGATTTTATCTTTAATGACACTAGTTTCAAAAATTGACGTTGCTTCCACTGATAAATAAATGTTTAGAGCGTTCTCATTTCTTTAAAATGTAGTATTTTTCTTTTCATCACATTTAAGAGTCAATCACAGTTAAACAAATTTAATTTTGCTTCTAAAATCTCATACGTGTCAGGAATCATGCGAAAATGTTCACGAAATTTCTTTGCTGTTAGACCTGGAACGGTTCTGTCTACGTAATCTATGATACGCAATAGCTTCTTTCGTGGCCCACGCAATGCGTGGCTATGTTGAAATTTTGTCTGAAAAATAATATCTTATACTTCCTCGTCTGTCTCGCTATCATTCATTATATTTAATTTAGACTTTAAGAACTCGTCGCTAGTATTTACAGCTACAGAAATTAAACGTTTTCGACGTAACTCAACACTATCCATTTTGAATTTGTACATTTGATATTTTGGTAGTCGTTCGAAAACCAACAGTTCTCTAAATTCCCCATTACTCCCACCAACGCATCCCTAAGTCACATCACTTGCGCCGGCAGAGGACGTTTTCGAACGCAGCCCTATGGGATAAATGGCAAAAATGCAGGGATTTGAAAAAGTTACCTCTTAATATGGAAAAGAAATTATTTTGGATTTCTAATATTTTTTTTACAGTAGTAGATGATACAAAGTTTTTATTTGTATAATTAATTTGCTTTATACATAGTAAATAATAATTGTTAAATTAAGTTTTCGATAGGAGCGGCGTATGTACCGGGTTTACCTTATATACTATATATATATAAATTATAAATACTATATATACATAGTATATATATATATAGTATATATTAGTATATGTAGTATATACTATATATATATAAATTATAAATACTATATATACATAGTATATATATATATAGTATATATTAGTATATGTAGTATATACTATATATCGATAGTTATATTGTATATATATAGTACATACAATTTTTTATAATTATATATATATGTTTATATATAAAAAATACATATATATAATTTTCACACCCTCTCTAAAGCATACATATATGCAAACCAGTATAATAACAATTCTTTTTATGATATATGAAAAAATTAATTGAAACAATTTTCTCTGTAAACAAGAAAGAATATGTAATGTTACAATTGTTACATTCAGCAGAAAAGTAGCTTCGTAACTGTTGTAAAATTTTTTAATGTAATTGGATTTTTATTCATTGAGAGAAACTAACAAAGTAAGGGCAAGCTAATCATGTTGAAGAATTTAACAAAGATACAAAATTTTACTATCTGCTGAATGCAATTAATATATCTATGCATATATATAATTTTTATCTACTTACCATAATTATAATATATTTACATTTAAATATTAAAAGAGTATTTAAAGTACATTGCAAAATTTATCCGTAATTAAGCGAGAAAAATTTAATGAAAAGCAAGAAATATAATTAAATTTTTACCTAAAGAATAAAAACATTCTCTCAATATAGGTACTTTGAAGTATTGATCGAGAGTAATTAGATGGATTTCTAGTCCAGGAAATAGCTTCTTACAGTTCAATACGTCTGTTGCAAATGAACCAAATACTCCACACGAAAAAATACCATGAGGTTCACAAACAAAAAGATACGATTTTTTAGGATCTAGATCTACTGTTTTCACTAATTTTAACGGAAAATAATTGCATAAATAACGGAAAAGCGCAATATTTCTTGCCAATCTTGTCCACACTTCACTGAAAAATGTAAGATATATTTATTTTTGAAACATTAATAATTTATGTTTTTAAAAAGTTTAATTATTGTGGCTAAAATGACTCTTTCTTATTTAAATTCAATGAATAATCATAAAGATTTTTTAACTCATTGGGTGTTTTTAATGGAACGCAACAGTTTCGTAACCATTTTATAATTGCCTGCTGAACGGTCTTAAATGCATGTCTTAACGTTTTAACACGTTTATTCAATGATTGTCGTCGTTTTCATTAAATTAAGTACGCTAACATTAAATCTCAAGCAAAACGTATGGAACAAAATAGCTGTTTGCAATGTATCGTTTTTTTAAACGACGTAATAGATATACTATTGAAAAAATATAGAATATAAAAGGTTAAAAAATAGTTTATATAAATATAGATATATAAGAAAATAAAAATATATATAATTATAATTTAGATAAATTTGAGGTAGTATTATGGTTGCTATTTTATCTAATTTTTTTTTTAACTTTTAGTAATAAATATGCGTTTTAGCGTTAATATCAAAAGAGCGTTCAGCAGAACACTCAAATGTTGCAACTTATCAGTAAACCGTTGCGCAAGAGTTGCGTTCGGCTGAATACATTTATTTACTTTGTTGGATTAAGTAATTGTCTTTAAGTGTTGTCAAAATTTTTTCTTTTTACCGATCACTAAAAAAAAAAGGTTAACAGAATTCTTACCTTCTACCACCACTATGACAAGTGTCCCAATCGTAATACATCCAGAGAAAATATAATAACAGGAAATAACGTAGCGTTTCTGTGTAGAATATAAGGTAAACCGTAATTAGATATCCCCAAACACTCACTAAAGGGAGTACAAAAACGCATATCGCAACAGCCAACGTTTGTAATCTTCTTTCCAGCGGTACATTTAACGGTGCAAATTTCACGCCCAGAATTTCCATGTTTCTCACTAAATCTTCGTTCAAAATTCAAATCACCGGAGAAAACCAGTTTTTCGTTTAGTTACGTGTATGGGTTGCAAGGATAAGGTGCGGTTTTACTATATATAATCACAGAGAAAAAATAAAATATACCTTACAATTTCTAAAAAAAATTAATTGATCTAGACTTTTAACTTTATTTCTCAGTTTAACTTACTATAATCTTAACCAAATTTTTAGAATTAGAAAAATAAAAAAAAATTGAGTTAATCTTACATTGTTGGAATCTAAGTTATTTTTTTATAATACCGATTGTGCATCGCTTTAGCTGATAGTGGTTTCAATATGAATTGACACTATCAAGCGGACGCACAAAGTCTATCTTTGATTTCAACAAGGAACGAATTTATATCTTTATATATACTATTTTTAATAACTTTATTAACATAGAGTCGCAAATTGTTTATTTAATTTTTGAAATCGTTTCTATCATTATCTTTTCCTTTCTACTCTATTTATGTATTTTATGGATTGTAGCTTTTCTTTTAGTATATCACCAAGTCAGACTATCGTCTTCCACAGATGAAATAGTACGTTTTCACGCAATACGACGACCACATGTATGCGCCGTGTGTAAATATATTTATTCTTGCGACGATTTCCACACGGAACGTTTAGCACTGCGTCATGTGTCTTACTGTTGTATCGTCGATAGCATGAGGAGAAAGCATGTCCGACGGAGTACACAAGTGGTTATTCATTCACACGCGCACGGACAGATGGACGGTTGTCCATGAACGAAACTCTAAAACGTTTAGTCAAAATTCGACGTTAAGACTCATTCTAATATATAACGCGGAGTTTATTATTAATTATTTAACAATTGAATGGAGTCTTTCAGATTATATATGAAGCATAAACCAATATATTGTCATGTAAATTTATGTGTATAGGATAAAAAGTTGATGAGCCTCTATTATATTTGATTATCAGAACTGTCTTGTCATTCAACATGTTTGAATAAACGTTCTGTTTACACAAATTTTTTTTAGTGTTAACATTGCAGTTTATTAAATACCATATTAATATATAATCGCTTATTGAATATCATTAATAAGTTATAATTAAATATTTTATAAGAGTTCGAGAGTAACATTTTCTGCATTTTTGATGTAATTATGCTTTTGTGTATTGAAGAATTTAATTAAATGTTCTATGAATTCATTGTGATATTTATTAATCTCTTCAGACGTGGGATCCTCTATTTTGGGTATTTCGATGGGACTACCAACTAAAATAAAAAGAAACATAAAATTAAAAATTATTTATTAATAACTAGTAAATAATAACCACTATTAATAACTAATAAATTTTATTATAAATAAATATTTATTTGTTAGTACATAAAAAAAATTTTACCAACTACGGTAACCGGTAATCTCTTCGGAATAAGGCCAAATGAATACTGAAAGAATCCTCTACCCGAAATAACAAGGGGTGGTATCCCAATGAAACTGCGAATATAGTTTTGTATGCGTCTGAAAGTCGATCCTTCTGGGCTGTATTGATTGTATAAATCTGTTTCGCCAAAAGAGAGGACAGGAACCAACGCCGTACTAAATCATAGAGTTATATATTAGATTTTGAATTGTATTGATCATAATTGCTGAACATAATTATATTATACGTAATTATCGTTTTTTTCTTTTTTTATGTTTTAGATTTTCCTATAATTTTATTTACGTTTTACATTTTATGATATAACTTTCTATAGAGGGTGGTCCACTCAAATCGAAGAGAGATCTTCGATATTTCGTTTATTTTTGATAATATGGAAAAATGTTCTAAATGAAAATGGAATGGTGTCGAGAGGGACACGTTTTAGTCATGTTTAAATGGTATTAAGGATATCATCTCCACTTTTTTAAATGGAATTGTGTAATTTTTTTTAGATAATATCATTCCTCTAATTATTTTGCATATAAAAGTATTTATGTAGAGATACCAATAAACCATTAGTTTAAGAGATATTTTATACTTTATTCTGACAAAAAAATTATTTGAGGAGATGCTCAAAACGATGTCCTCGGACTTCAATACACCTTAGAGACGATATTTAAATGATTTTCTTGCCCTCTTTGTCATTTCTGAATTTATACTTGCACACGCAGCCAAAATACGCACTTTCATTTATGAAATGTGGTACGGATAAAATGAGTGGCGTTTCAGAATGCGTAAAATACTTGTCTCTGAAATACTAGAATTCCATTGTATTTATCGAGAACTAATATGTGGATTATGTGCAACTGCAGCTAAAACAGCAACTTCTGCTGCTTCATTATTTTGCAAAGGAGGTCGATTTTTTTAGTTTGTATAAACACTTCTAGAAAGCTGGATGGGTAGAGGAGGACACATCAATTGGCCTGTACGTTCTCCTGATTTAAATTTTCTGGACTTCTTTATATGGGGAACATTAAAAAATATCGTTTATAACGATGTACCAACTACATAGGAGAACACGAAAGTGCGTATTTTGGCTACATGTGCAAGTATAAATTCAGAAATGACAGAGAGGGCAAGAGAATCATTTAAATATCTTCTCCAAAAATGTAATGAAGTCCGAGAGGATCATTTTGAGCAACTCCTTAAATAAATTTTTTGTCAGAATAAAGTATAAAATATCTCGTAAACTATTAGATTTTTGATATCTCTACTTTAATACTTTTATATGCAAAACAATTAGAGGAATCATATTATCTAAAAAAAATTACATAATTCCATTTAAAAAAGTGGAGATGATATTGATACCTTTTTAGCCCCTCCACTTAGAAAAAAAACAACGTGACTAAAACGTGTCCCCATCGACACCGTTCCATTTTTATTAGAAACAATTTTTCGTATTATCAAAAATAAACGAAGTATTCAAAAAGTTTGATTTAAGTGGACCACCCTGTATATTACGTAAAGATTTACGCACAGATTGCAAAACAATTTTTTAGAAATATGATTTATGATAAACGCTGACATAGAAATATTACTGGTATGTCATAGTTAGAAATTACGTATAAATAGCATCCTTATCTAAAAAGCGACAAGAAAAAAAATGTTTTTTAACTTGATAGAAAATTGACTAATCTCACACAGTATCGAAAATATATGCATATAACGTAATCAAATATTACATTTTTGTCACTTTTATTTCGCAATTTTTACAAAACCGTCCATTTTGAGTTCTAACGATTTTTTATAAGTAATTAAATTATTTCACTTTTAATATTGTATGATAGATAGGGTTTGGTGTAAAACCGTCCAAGAGTGCGTACTTTTTCTTTGAAACTATATAACCTGTATAAGGATCTCAGTTCGCACAGTAAAGTGGTGTTTAGATTATTCTTTACACTTTAAACTAAATATTTTCCAAGTATCAATGTAATACTATGACTCGTCTTTTTACAGGAGATTAATTTTATTAAGAAAAGAAAAATGCGAACTTTTTAGTGTCTTCTCAAGAGTTTGCATTAGTTTGCGACCTTCACTTTTTGTTTTTAATATAACTATGTAAAATAATTACGGATATTAAGTGAATATATCACTAAATACGAAGCAGAACATGTATGCGCACAATATAAATAGTACGGATTCATGAGTAAGCAACGATTTAACGCGTAGAAATCGATTAATTCATCCTTGACAGATATAGAAAGAAAATGATCAAATACCGATGAAAATAAGCCATTTACAGTCAAACTGGATATTGAATGCATCTATTATCATTTTCGTGTGAATTTATATACTACGTATGTAATACCTAAATGTGAAAATGATCAAAATTACAATATTAAAAATATTTTCTTTTTAACTGAAACGATCACAACGATTTTTTTAACACAGAACAGTAAACCAAAAAGGCATTCTTTGTGAAATACAGTTTCTACAATCGAATATTTTCGTTGTATATAGCTCAGTGCGAAATCTTGAGCGCACTTTTAGGCGGTTTTACCCTAATGTTTATTTTTGACTTACTCATAATAACTTAAAAATTACATTTTTTAGTCATATTGTAAGTAAAGAAACGATATTAATAATTAAAAAGTATATAACTCACCCGTATTTAAGTGCTAGTTTCACAAATCCTTTTCTTCTTTTTATAATGACACGATATGTGCCCGGCATTGATTCCATTATTTCAGCAACACCACCGACCACAAGAACTGTAATTCTTCCGGTATATGGATTTTTTGGTGGTTTTGATAATAAATATTTGATACTTCTTAAGCTAGAAGCACAAGCACCTAAAAGTGTCCGATAACTTATCGTTATAATCAAATTACAGAAAAATTTAACGTTCTAAGTGGTCTTCATTGATTTAAAAAAAAATTTCTTTTTAATTAATTATTAAAAA